ACGGAGCCAGAACCGAATCGGATCGGCGGCGCCAGGGTGCTCAAAAGAGCCATGCAAGCATCGGGCCGCATCGGATCGTCGGATTATCGGAATCGATTCGGATCGGACCAGCCAGAATCGATATTGAACCCGATCGGTCGGATCGGAATGGACCTTGTAGAGCACATCCAAGCTTTGCGCCACCAGCGCCCCAGAAGCAGTTGCAAGGACATCTTGCACCCTGGAGGCCTCCCAGCGACGAAAGGAGAGTGCTCCATGATGGGCATCGCTTCCAGTAGAGCCCCGAGAAGCGACAAGAAAGTCCTAACAGCAATTCAAGAAGACCCCGACTGGGACCCGAGAAAGCTCCAGGGAACGCCGGAACTTCAATCCAAATCAGGATATGCAACCCTCGAGGCCAGCAAAAAAATATAGCCGGCTTCCTAGAGGCCCCAGATATACTTGAAACTGTGAACTACGACGTGAGGCACCCAGCAGGTCGAACAAACACTTCAAGATCCATGTCTGGTACTGGAGGCCCCCAAACATTCAAAAACTTATGCAACATGCAACGATACGGCCCCAATAAGGCCCTAATATGCATTCAAGGTTGCATCTTTCGGGCAGAGCAACAACTGAGCAATGCAGTTCTTCGATTGTTGTTGCAAATCGCCGGTCCTATTCCCGAGAACCCGCCATGTGGCTCCAGGACAACCCTTCTGCCCAAGGTGGCCCGAGTGATGGCCCCAAGATCGCTAAACATGGCCCAGCAAAACTCCAAGTAATTTCAACATTGAAGGGGCCCTGGAACACACAAATAAATACACACAAATAAAAAGATTCCCCATATTTTCCCATATTTTCTGGGTTTTTGTCTTCCCCACCACTTCCCATATTTTCCCATTTTTTCCAGGAAATCGAAGATTAATTGTGTCTGTGTGTTTCTTTCCCTCCTGAAACATGCGCCTCAGAAGGCCCAAGACGACCTCCAGAGGCCGCAAGACGGCCTCCAGAGATAGCTCCGAAGATGCCCCGGAGATGCGCAGGGTGGCCGGACGAGGCCCCAACAAAGCTTCGAGGTGGGCCCATACAGCCCAAACGTTGTCCAACCAGTCCAGCCATGGCAACAGAAGACCACAAGAAAGCCCGCGGGTGCCCACGAATAATCCACACGAGAGGGGTGTCAAGCGAGAGAAGGCGAAGTCGTTAGGATAGCGACAAAGCCAGTTGCCACCGCCCACCTTTCTCGCACGCGCTTATTCCAGCACTGTAGCTGATTACGTCTGGCTTCAGTCTCACCTTCCCAATTTCGCCCAGCAGCGACAACGCTGCCTGCCACTGTTTGCTCCTCTCGCACGCGCTGACTCCCGCGTTGTAGCAGAACAGATTGGGCTCCAACTGAAACTGCCATAGCTCGCTGAGCAAAGACAGAGCCCGTTGCCACTGCCCACCCTTCTGGCACGCGCTGATTCCAGCACTGCAGCTGATGCGGCCTGGCTTCAAACTCGCCGTGCCCATCTCCCTAAGAAGCGAAAGTGCCTGCTCCCACTGCCCACCTTTCTCGCACGCGCTGATTCCAGCGTTGTAGCTTATCTCATCTTGATCCAGTTTGATCTCTCGCATCTCCCTGAGCAGTGCCAACGCTCGATGCCACTGCTCACACTTCTCGCAAGAACTGATTCCAGCATTGTAGCTGACAGTATTAGGCTCCAGTCTCTCCCCACGTAGCTCTTTGAGCAACGACAGCGCCCTCTGCCACTGACCACCTTTCTCGCACGCACTGATTCCAGCATTGAAGCTGATCACGCACAGCTCCAGCTTCGCCTTCCCCAGTTCCCTGAGCAGTGACAGCGCGCGCTGCCACTGAAGGCCTTTCTCGCAAGCGCTCAGCGCGGCGTTATAGCTTATGGTATTCGGCTCCAATGCGGCACTCCTTATGTCACCGAACAACGACAAGGCTTGCTGCCACGCCAAACCCGTCCCGCATGCACTGATTCCAGCACAATAGCCAACAATTCCTGGATCCAATTTCAGGTCTTCCATTTCGCTGAGCAGCCACAGAGATCGCTGCCACTGCCCACCCTTCTCACAGGCACTGGTTCCAGCGCAGTAGCTGACGACGTCGGGCTCTGATTTCATATCTCGCATATCCCTGAGCAGCGACAAGGCGTGCTGCCACTCACCACTCTTTTCGCAGGCGCTGATCCCGGCATTGAAGCTGATGGTATCTGGCCCCACCTCCGCTTCGACCATGTGCCGGAAAAGCGATAGCGCGTGCTCCCACTGCGAACCTTTCTCGCAAGCGCTGATGCCTGCGTTGTAGGTGATCGTATTCGGCTCGAGTCTCAGCTCCCGCAGCTCGACCAGCAGCAGCACTGCCTGCTGCCACTGCCCGTCCTTCTCGCAAGCACTGATTCCAGAACTGTAGCTGATAACGTTCAGCTCGATGTCAACATGCCCCATGTCCCGGAGCAGCGACAATGCCCGCTGCCACTGCCCACCTTTCTCGCAGGCGCTGACTCCCGCGTTGTAGACGATCACGTCCAGCTGTAGGCTCGTCTCCCGCAGCTCATCGAGCAGTGCCAGCGCTGGCCGCCACTGCCCACACTTCTCGCAAGCACTGACTGCAGCGCTGAAGCAGATGACGCTCGGCTCCAACTTCGCGTCCCTCATTCCGCCGTGTAGCGTCAGCGCGTGTTGCCACTTCCCGCCCTTCTCGCACGCGCTGATTCCAGCACCGTAGCTGATGGCAGTTGGGTCGACGCTCGCCCCACGCATCTCGCCGAGCAGCGCCAATGCTTGCTGCCACTGCCCAACTTTCTCGCACGCGGTGATTCCAGCATTGTAGCTTACGGCGTCCAGCTCGGAACTCGCCTCGCCCACCTCGACGAGCAACAGCAGCGCCTGCTGCCACTGCTTCCCTTTCCCACACGCGCTGATAGCGACGCTGGCGAGGATGGTGTCGGCCTGTGTGCGTGTCCGCGGTGCGCTTCTGAAGACATGCAGCGCCTGTCTCCACTGTTTTGTGTTTCCACATTCCTTGATAAAAGCCGCGAGGGAGCCGGTGCCTGATTGAGACTCTGGCCGTCTCGCCTGACGGGAAAGCTGCACCGTGGTTCGTCTCGCGCGCAGCTCGCTCCGAGCTGTCCCTGCAAAGCCAGCGGTGAGAAGTCGACTACCTGTGCCCTCTGGTAAGCTTGAAGCAAAAATGGCCACGTATGGACTTTGGCATTGGAGTCGTCTTGGGGGGTCTTCCGGCTCGGCTTGTCGTGAGGCCGTCGGAGCTGTACTGAAGCGGTCTCGTTCCGTACTGCGCACGCTTGGGGCACGCGACAAATCCACTACGGCCGCTCGGAAGCTGTCTAGGCTGCCAAAGGGCGGTGAAGTCCCCCGGAGGCCGTCCTGTGCAATCAGGGCTGCTGAAGAACAACTGCTTTACCAACCAACATCCGCAAGCACAGCCTGCGGATGGTGGGGCACCAGGCTGCGCGGCGCACGTTTCAGCAACTGAGCAGCGAAGCTCTTCTCGATGTAATGAGACAGGAAGGAATACCACGACATCCTCGGCAACACAAGGGTTTAGCAACTATGCCGTCTCGAGGCTCACCAGACCTTCCCTCAGAGAAAAGATCTCGACGACGGCGCAGGCGACTTGGGGGTCCAGGAATCGTGAGGTGGCAGACCGCGCGGTGACCTCAAAATCTCGAAGGACCTCACCGCGCGATCCGTCACCGCACGGCTTCGGGACCTCGGAGGCCCCAATCACCCGAGACGTCTTCGGAGAAAGTCACCACACTGGTCCTCCTCCGAATGTTTGGTTTCCGGGCTCTAACTCGGGACTCTGGCGGCTGTTCGGCACTATTTGGGGACCCAAGGACCACCCTCGGCGAAGCGCAACTGATGAAACGCATCCTGAAGCCGGAAATCCGCCGAGAATTGACGAAAACGTCCGAAATCCTTGAACCCCCACTGGCCCACCACACTCTTTTAGGGAGCCCACAAAGCACGTACGCGCCAAACCACGTACACGAATACGGCCCCCCAGTCTGCGAGACCAGCCTCGTGATACGACCGTTCGCGCAATGCGTACTTTCGAAACCAGCGTGGATTCATGTACGTGTGCAGTCATAGTGCTACCGTGAAGAACGCCAAGTGAGGAACGAAGGGGCTTTCCTGGCCACTGCGAGCCTCAGCCACGAATAGGTCCTCCAACCTAGATCTAAGGAGCGACCCAGAAATCAGAGACCCTCCTGAGCCCAAAGCAATACATATTTCAGCGTCTGGACTGTGCTTGTACAGCCAGACCCAGGGTGTAAGAACATTCCTCAAGAGCATGAGACCCTTTGCTGGCCAAGACACTCCAAACCATAACATCACCGAGGGTGCCATTCCCCGGCATGCACAAGAACATACGACAAGCACGAAGAACACGAGGGTACCTTCCCCGAGCCGACCTCGATCTTAAACTTCGGCCCGACCGCATGTCCCTCTTTCGGGGGCGCGCAAACATGGATTAGCGATCCATGGGTTAGGCGCGCGGTCGCCAAATCCATGGATCGGTAAGGTGCCCTCCCCAAAATGCGGCTGGTGCCGCCTCGTTCGGCGGCTGAAATCCGCGATTTCCCACGGAAACGGGACCCGTCGCTAATCCACGCCCCCTTAATCCATGTTTGCGATCGCTTTTTTTTCTGTGCCCGCATACTCGTTGCCTTGTGTGGACGATACGGCTTCATGTCTTGAGGGCTGAGCGCAGCAGCAGGAGGCGGAGGAGGACGAGGAGGACCGAGGAGGAGGACGAGAAGGGGAGTGGGGGGTGCCACGCGGTGCACAATCGAAAAAACAATTCAAGCTATGATCCACAGGGAGCCTGAGCGCCCCGCCTATGCCAAGCTGAAGCGGCCGTAGCGCCTTCTCCTGGACCAGGCAGCAGGGAGGAGGAGGAGGACGCAGAGATCGAAGCAGCCAGCACTGTGACAGTCAGGGGGGGAAGCATTTGACACTTCCTGGTCCAGACTGAACCCTCACTTCTTGCGGCTGCCGAACTGGAAGAAGAAGCCGCCTGCGATGATGAAAGCCCCGGCCACCCAATTTCCGAGCGTGACTGGGAGAAGGTTCTGCATGAAGGTCTGCATGTATGTCAGTGGCGAGCCTGCGAGGAGGCCCGCCGGCAAGATGAACATGTTCGCGACGGAGTGCTCGAAACCGATGCCCACGAACATGGAAATGGGGAACCAAATTCCGACCATCTTGCCCGTGAGGTCCTTCGCCTGGGTGCACAGGAAGACGGCCTTGCACACCAGCCAGTTGCACAAGACGGCCTTCACGATTGTCTGTCCGAGCGTGCCGCCGCACTTCTTGGCCACTGTCGTCACAGCCATGGAGCCTGCGCCACCGGCCAGGAGGCCGGTGTACCAGGCCGCAACAGCCAGTGCTCCGCAACCGATCACGTTGCCAACCCAGGAGTAGACGAAGCTCCTTAGCATATCCTTGATCTTCACCTTGCCCTCGAGGAACGCACACGACACTGTGGCAGTGTTGCCAGTGAACAGCTGACAGCCCGACTGCAGCACCAACAGCAGGTTCACTGAGAACAGGGCCGCGAAGATGAACTCTGGGCGCCAAGGGTGGCCGACGGGCCCAGGTTCCCGGCCACGGTCAGAGAGAGCAGGCCGGCCATGCCGACATGGGCGCCGCCCATGATCGAGCTGTGCATCAGCTTTCCGAGCGGCATGTTTGCGTTGGCAACGCCCTTGTCCACCAGGGCCTCGTAGGTCTCCTTGGGCGAGACGACCAGCGCGACCTCGTCGCTGCCGGCCCTCCGCGCACCCCCCGCGGGCCGGCGGGTCGCGAGCAGCGCGACTCCGCAGAGCGCGGGCGCCAGGAGCGCCCCGGCCGCCCCGAGCGCATCTGCGCCTGGCGTCTCCTGCCCCGCTGCCGCGGGGGCCCCGCGCTGCAGAGGAGGCGGGCGCCGGGGCCGCGGCGAAGGCGGGGGCGCGGCCGGCGAGGCCGCAGAGCGCCGCGAGGGCGGCAGCGGCGGCGGCCAGCGTCGGGAGCGAGGGGCTGGCGGCTCGTGGCGGCATGCCGGAAGCCGGGTGCGCGACGGGCTGGGCGCGGGCGTGGCCGATGCCCAGAGGGGGCCTCTTGTGTCGGCCCGACCGCACGTCCCTCTTTCGGGGGCGCGCAAACATGGATTAGCGATCCATGGGTTAGGCGCGCGGTCGCCAAATCCATGGATCGGTAAGGTGCCCTCCCCAAAATGCGGCTGGTGCCGCCTCGTTCGGCGGCTGAAATCCGCGATTTCCCACGGAAGCGGGACCCGTCGCTAATCCACGCCCCCTTAATCCATGTTTGCGATCGCGCCCCTGACGCCTGGGGGCCCCTGGGACACCAATGACGAGTACCCACAAGCGCCTCCTCCTCCTCCTCGTGCATGTCGCACAGCATATCGTTGGCGACGCCGTAGAAGGTGACGGTGAAGTGATCCGCGTGTAAAAGCTGGGGGGCACAAGTACCTCAAGTTTCCCAGCTTTGCTACACCACACGACTCCTGGAGAGCGAGCCCCTCGACCACAAAGAACTGTGCATGCTGCTGAGCAGCGACAGCACATGCTGCCCCTGCCCACTGCTCTCGCATGCACCGGCTCCACTACTGTAGCTGACAATATCTGGCTCCAAGCGCACGTCACCCATCTCACTGAGCAACAGCAGTGCCTGTTGCCACTGCCCACCCTTCTGGCACGCGCTGATTCCAGCACTGCAGCTGATGCGGCCTGGCTTCAAACTCGCCGTGCCCATCTCCCTAAGAAGCGAAAGTGCCTGCTCCCACTGCCCACCTTTCTCGCACGCGCTGATTCCAGCGTTGTAGCTTATCTCATCTTGATCCAGCTTGATCTCTCGCATCTCCCTGAGCAGTGCCAACGCTCGATGCCACTGCTCACACTTCTCGCAAGAACTGATTCCAGCATTGTAGCTGACAGTATTAGGCTCCAGTCTCTCCCCACGTAGCTCTTTGAGCAACGACAGCGCCCTCTGCCACTGACCACCTTTCTCGCACGCGCTGATTCCAGCATTGAAGCTGATCACGCACAGCTCCAGCTTCGCCTTCCCCAGTTCCCTGAGCAGTGACAGCGCGCGCTGCCACTGAAGGCCTTTCTCGCAAGCGCTCAGCGCGGCGTTATAGCTTATGGTATTCGGCTCCAATGCGGCACTCCTTATGTCACCGAACAACGACAAGGCTTGCTGCCACGCCAAACCCGTCCCGCATGCACTGATTCCAGCACAATAGCCAACAATTCCTGGATCCAATTTCAGGTCTTCCATTTCGCTGAGCAGCCACAGAGATCGCTGCCACTGCCCACCCTTCTCACAGGCACTGGTTCCAGCGCAGTAGCTGACGACGTCGGGCTCTGATTTCATATCTCGCATATCCCTGAGCAGCGACAAGGCGTGCTGCCACTCACCACTCTTTTCGCAGGCGCTGATCCCGGCATTGAAGCTGATGGTATCTGGCCCCACCTCCGCTTCGACCATGTGCCGGAAAAGCGATAGCGCGTGCTCCCACTGCGAACCTTTCTCGCAAGCGCTGATGCCTGCGTTGTAGGTGATCGTATTCGGCTCGAGTCTCAGCTCCCGCAGCTCGACCAGCAGCAGCACTGCCTGCTGCCACTGCCCGTCCTTCTCGCAAGCACTGATTCCAGAACTGTAGCTGATAACGTTCAGCTCGATGTCAACATGCCCCATGTCCCGGAGCAGCGACAATGCCCGCTGCCACTGCCCACCTTTCTCGCAGGCGCTGACTCCCGCGTTGTAGACGATCACGTCCAGCTGTAGGCTCGTCTCCCGCAGCTCATCGAGCAGTGCCAGCGCTGGCCGCCACTGCCCACACTTCTCGCAAGCACTGACTGCAGCGCTGAAGCAGATGACGCTCGGCTCCAACTTCGCGTCCCTCATTCCGCCGTGTAGCGTCAGCGCGTGTTGCCACTTCCCGCCCTTCTCGCACGCGCTGATTCCAGCACCGTAGCTGATGGCAGTTGGGTCGACGCTCGCCCCACGCATCTCGCCGAGCAGCGCCAATGCTTGCTGCCACTGCCCAACTTTCTCGCACGCGGTGATTCCAGCATTGTAGCTTACGGCGTCCAGCTCGGAACTCGCCTCGCCCACCTCGACGAGCAACAGCAGCGCCTGCTGCCACTGCTTCCCTTTCCCACACGCGCTGATAGCGACGCTGGCGAGGATGGTGTCGGCCTGTGTGCGTGTCCGCGGTGCGCTTCTGAAGACATGCAGCGCCTGTCTCCACTGTTTTGTGTTTCCACATTCCTTGATAAAAGCCGCGAGGGAGCCGGTGCCTGATTGAGACTCTGGCCGTCTCGCCTGACGGGAAAGCTGCACCGTGGTTCGTCTCGCGCGCAGCTCGCTCCGAGCTGTCCCTGCAAAGCCAGCGGTGAGAAGTCGACTACCTGTGCCCTCTGGTAAGCTTGAAGCAAAAATGGCCACGTATGGACTTTGGCATTGGAGTCGTCTTGGGGGGTCTTCCGGCTCGGCTTGTCGTGAGGCCGTCGGAGCTGTACTGAAGCGGTCTCGTTCCGTACTGCGCACGCTTGGGGCACGCGACAAATCCACTACGGCCGCTCGGAAGCTGTCTAGGCTGCCAAAGGGCGGTGAAGTCCCCCGGAGGCCGTCCTGTGCAATCAGGGCTGCTGAAGAACAACTGCTTTACCAACCAACATCCGCAAGCACAGCCTGCGGATGGTGGGGCACCAGGCTGCGCGGCGCACGTTTCAGCAACTGAGCAGCGAAGCTCTTCTCGATGTAATGAGACAGGAAGGAATACCACGACATCCTCGGCAACACAAGGGTTTAGCAACTATGCCGTCTCGAGGCTCACCAGACCTTCCCTCAGAGAAAAGATCTCGACGACGGCGCAGGCGACTTGGGGGTCCAGGAATCGTGAGGTGGCAGACCGCGCGGTGACCTCAAAATCTCGAAGGACCTCACCGCGCGATCCGTCACCGCACGGCTTCGGGACCTCGGAGGCCCCAATCACCCGAGACGTCTTCGGAGAAAGTCACCACACTGGTCCTCCTCCGAATGTTTGGTTTCCGGGCTCTAACTCGGGACTCTGGCGGCTGTTCGGCACTATTTGGGGACCCAAGGACCACCCTCGGCGAAGCGCAACTGATGAAACGCATCCTGAAGCCGGAAATCCGCCGAGAATTGACGAAAACGTCCGAAATCCTTGAACCCCCACTGGCCCACCACACTCTTTTAGGGAGCCCACAAAGCACGTACGCGCCAAACCACGTACACGAATACGGCCCCCCAGTCTGCGAGACCAGCCTCGTGATACGACCGTTCGCGCAATGCGTACTTTCGAAACCAGCGTGGATTCATGTACGTGTGCAGTCATAGTGCTACCGTGAAGAACGCCAAGTGAGGAACGAAGGGGCTTTCCTGGCCACTGCGAGCCTCAGCCACGAATAGGTCCTCCAACCTAGATCTAAGGAGCGACCCAGAAATCAGAGACCCTCCTGAGCCCAAAGCAATACATATTTCAGCGTCTGGACTGTGCTTGTACAGCCAGACCCAGGGTGTAAGAACATTCCTCAAGAGCATGAGACCCTTTGCTGGCCAAGACACTCCAAACCATAACATCACCGAGGGTGCCATTCCCTGGCATGCACAAGAACATACGTCAAGCACGAAGAACACGAGGGTACCTTCCCCGAGCCGACCTCGATCTTAAACTTCGGCCCGACCGCACGTCCCTCTTTCGGGGGCGCGCAAACATGGATTAGCGATCCATAGGTTAGGCGCGCGGTCGCCAAATCCATGGATCGGTAAGGTGCCCTCCCCAAAATGCGGCTGGTGCCGCCTCGTTCGGCGGCTGAAATCCGCGATTTCCCACGGAAGCGGGACCCGTCGCTAATCCACGCCCCCTTAATCCATGTTTGCGATCGCGCCCCTGACGCCTGGGGGCCCCTGGGACACCAATGACGAGTACCCACAAGCGCCTCCTCCTCCTCCTCCTCGTGCATGTCGCACAGCATATCGTTGGCGACGCCGCAGAAGGTGACGGTGTAGTGATCCGCGTGTAAAAGCTGGGGGGCACAAGTACCTCAAGTTTCCCAGCTTTGCTACACCACACGACTCCTGGAGAGCGAGCCCCTCGACCACAAAGAACTGTGCATGCTGCTGAGCAGCGACAGCACATGCTGCCCCTGCCCACTGCTCTCGCATGCACCGGCTCCACTACTGTAGCTGACAATATCTGGCTCCAAGAGCACGTCACCTATCTCGCTGAGCAACAGCAGTGCCTGTTGCCACTGCCCACCTTTCCCGCATGAGTTTATTCCCATTGTGCGACTGACAACGTTCGCTTCGCATCTTGCGCTGCTCATTTCACTGAGAAGCGACAACGCCTGCTGGCTTTGCCAGCTCTTCTCGCACGCGCTGGCTACAGCATTGCAAGTCACAGTGCATTGTAGTCCATGTTTGCGATTGCGCCCCTGACGCCTGGGGGCCCCGAGCGACGCGAGCGAAGACGACGGCGCGGGGCCTCGGCCCGCGGGGCAGCGGCCGCCGCCGCCGCGGCGCCGCCGTCGTCTGGCCCCGCCTCCGCGGGGACGGGCGCCGCCTCCGCGCGGGGGGGGGGTCGCGGAGGTCGCGCGCCTTGCCCGCCTCGTCATCCCCCTCCGGCTCATCCCCCCCCCTCCTGCTCCCTCCTCCTCCTCCTCCTCCTCCTCCTCCTCCTCCTCCTCCTCCTCCACCTCCTCCTCCTCCTCCTCCTCCTCCTCCTCCTCCTCCACCTCCTCCTTCCTCCCTCTCCTCCCCCCCCTGTCCTTCCTGTCCCGCTCCTCCTCCGCCGCCTCCCCTTCCTCCGCGATCCTTCCTCGCTCCTCCTTCCTCCCCCTTATCTCGGTCCTTCCTTCCTTCCTTCTTCCTTCCTTCCTTCCTTCCTTCCTTCCTTCCTTCTTCCTTCCTCCTCCTCCTCCTCCTCCTCCTCCTCCTCCTCCGTCTCCTTCTCCTCCTCCTCCTCCTCCTGATCGTCCTGACTCCTCCTGTTCCCTCTCCTCCTGCTCCTTCTCCTATTACTGCCGCAGAAGTCCGTCACCACGTGCCTCGTTCGCCTGATCTATGGAGCGCCGGTTAGACGGCACTCTGTCAATGCCCAACCAGCAACATGGGACGCCGACCCGTGCCAACTCGGCCTGGTTGGCGGCCGCTGGCCTTCGCAGCCTCGCCATACAGTGACGAACGTTGGCAATGTGAGAGCAGGGTGAAAACACTAGCTGGCCGCTCTGCGGTTGATCGGGAGCTTCTGCGAATACAGAAACAGGAAAGGACGTGCGCCCGATGCGCCGGAAGCGGTGCCGGGACGCACTCTTGGGCCCCCGCCGCGGGGACGGTCTTGTGAGGACCTCCCGAGCGAGAGCGCCGGTTTGGGCATCTTGCAGCGGAGCCGCCGGAGCTGCCGGACTCACTGGAAACGGTTTGGCCTCACTTGCCTGCTCTGGAGGTCACGATGATGGTGAGTTCCACAGGAGCTCAAACTACGCTCAAGAACCCCGGATAGTGTGTCGCCCCCGCGGCCCCAGCGACAAACTGTGCCTTGCGAGCGGATGGCGTGCCGTTCCGCTCCGCGGAGCGGGAGGCAGGGGAAGGGCTCGGGACGTTGGCGCTGGGGGGCTGGGAAGTGGCCAGCGTGTCGCGCCGACGCGTGGTGGGCCAGAGCCGGCGGAGCGGCACGCGATCCAGAAGTTCCCAACCGTAGCCGCCCTCGTGGAATTCGAAGGCAGGGCGGCGGCCAGAGGCGTGGCTGAACCCGCGCGCCTGCTTGCCCAGTGCGGCTGCGTGCACTCATGAGGGGGTTCCCCCAACGATGATCACCCCGATGCGGCGGCGACGGGTCCGTCGGGGACAGATGCGCAAAAACGATCTGTCCGCCGCACGGAACTATTGAGAAGTTATTGTAAAAAGTTGTGCGATGTGCGATGGGCGCGCCGTGGACAGTGAAGTTCAACCATGTGTGGCGCGAAATTTTTTCGGTGCGACGGCGACGGCGGGTGGCCAGACAGATGCACAGTACGTAACCAAACACGTTCGCCGACGGTGCGACAGCGACCGGCGAGGCCGCGACAGATAGACAGTTCGTTTGTTTCCGGAACTCCCCGCGCGGTGCGACGGCGACGGGGGGGTGGCCAGACACATGGATTGTACATAGCTGCGCACGTTGGCCTGGCCAACGGTGCGACAGCGACCGGCAGGGCCGCGACAGATACACAGCTTGTTTCCCATCCCCCGCGCGCGGCGCGACGACCCCCTTTTTCCCCTGGGGGGGGGTTTACCCCTCCCCCACCCCCTCCCAGGGCCGGAGGGGCGTTTCGGGGTCGCGGGCACGAGAGGCCTACTATACGCTACTACTACTAACTACTACTTACTACTACTACTACTCTACTACTACTACTACTACTATACTACACTACTACACTACTACTACTACTACTACTACTACTACTACTACTACTACTACTACTACTACTACTACTACTACTACTACTACTACTAATACTACCATGTTAAGTTCAAAACTCAATGGTCAAAACCCAATGTAAATATTCACTATCTGGGCCCAAGAGGCTGCCACATAAGCGTGGAATATATACAACCAATACAATATGCGAGGCGCGCGCGCGCTGGTGACCCGCGCGGGGCCGGGTCACCCGCGCGCGCGATGCATCCTGTATTGGTTTTATTCCATCGGAGGCCATGTTAAGGTGAAAACTCAATTGTCGAAACCCAATGTAAAAAATCATTCTCTGGGCCCAAGAGGCGGCCATATAAATGTGGAAAATATACAAACCAATACAATATGCGAAGCGCGCGGGCGCGCTGGTGACCCGCGCGGTGCCGGGTCACCCGCGCGCGCGCGCGATGCCTCCTGTATTGGTTTTATACAATCGGAGGCCATGTTAAGCTGAAAACTTAATGATCAAAACCCAATGTAAATATCCATTCTCTGGGCCCAAGAGGCGGCCATGCCACGTCAAATATAGAAA